CCCTAGGGAAACTCCCCTTGGGCAGACTGGCCACTCAGAACACAGTCATCTGATCCCATCATGGGAGCAACCACACAGAACTGGGGTCCAGCCACGTTGACACACATCTCCAACTATCACAGACCCATTCCCACATCTGGGTTCTCTCCACCTTATTTTCATGGTCTCGTTTCCACAGGGTGCCATGTTCCTCATTTACATTATTAGCAAGCTGTCCGATCCCCTTGGTGGGCCAGAAGCATTTCACATTTGCATAGTCCACCCAGTCACTTGGTGGGAGTCACAGAGTACCTCAGGCATTTGACTGCTAACCAGAAGGCTGGCAGTTCAAATCCACCAGCCATTCCTCGGAAGGAAAGACTAGGCAGTCTACTTCTGTAAAGATACCGCCTTGGAAAACCTAAGGAGAGGTCGCTATGAGTTGGATCGACTCAGTGGCAGTGAGTTCTGGAAGGTCCACACCGTGCAGTTGACTGCCCTGCAGCAATACGACCATGCTCTTTCGGTGGCATGTTGTCGTGGTAGCTTTGGGGCCACAGCGGCAGGGTTGAGTAGCTGCCACAGAGACGCTGTGGCCCGCGAGGCCTGAAGCGTTTGCCCTGTGGCCTTTCCCGAGGGAGTTTCTGATCCTTGCTGCAGAGCTGTGTTGTCCAGGCCCCACCTGTGGCCACTGGATTTTAAACTAATTAAAACAGATCAAAGGAGAAGCTCGGTCGCTCTGCGGCGCTCGCCACCCTCTGGTGTGTGCTGGGCCCCAGTGCCGGTGGCTGCCGAGCGGGCCTTCTGTGGGACACTGCCATCTTCGCAGAAGGTTCTGTTGGGCTGAGCTGTGAGCACCCTGGTCATGCTGGCAGATTTCCGAGGCTGGAGAACTGGGCGTTTGGAGGTCTGTCTCCATTACTCCCAAGCTCCAGTTTTATTGCTTCATTCACTATTTTCCTTATACTAGTTAACGGGCATTAGCCTGCCGCATTTCCTTCTCAGGGCTTGCTTTTTTCTTCTCCTCTATTAAAAAACACACGGTTGCTTTGGGATTGCCTTGGAGTTGCCGCAGACTCCCGGCGATCCCACACGTGTCAGGGTGGAACTGTGTTCTGGAGGGTTTGCAGGAAGTACATCTTCAGCCCCTTCTTCCAAGGGCTGTATGGTGGACTCGAACCTCTAACCTGTGGGGTCACAGCTGAGCTGGCAGCAAGCGGTTAACCGTTGGCACCCCCTGGGGCTCCCTGCCTTGGAGCTACAGCAGGCATGTCCTCCCTCCTTGTGAGGTTCCGGTTCCCTTGGAGGTCCTTCCAGCCTTGCCTGCCCTGACCCAGTCTGGCATTCACCATCCATCTCCCTTGTCTCTGTGTCTGTTCCCAAATGAGGTGCCCAGAACCAAAAGCGCAACTCCTAAAGGCGGTCCTGGGTACTAGAGTGGGAAGGGCCTCAGGGAGTCCTCAATCAGTAGACTTAGTGAGGGCAGACGGGGTGTTGGTTGGGCAGCCTGCCACCCATCTGTAGTTGTGGGGAGACCCAGTGTGTGTGTTTGTCCTGAGTGGGGGTTCAGGCACACCACCTCCCAGATTATCGAAAGGTGGGGCAGGGATCCATGACCCAAAAAAGGTCAAGCAGCCCAAGCTGAGAGGCTTTGCTTTTGTAACCACAGAGGTGGAGGGTCCCAGGGGAAGAATGGGAGTTGGTTGTGGTGAAATGACATGTCTGATTCCATCTTTTTGTCTGTTTCTTCCAGTACGAGTATGCTTTGCGACATCTGTATGTGCTGGTCAACCTTTGTGAAAACCGTTATCCCATTGACAGGTGAGTCACCTTTTGATGGGTGTCCGATGGGTCACTGTCATTGTGTTTTTTGTTCTGCAAGTGGGTGGGTTTGCTTCTGCCAGCTCCTCCCTCCAGCTTGGTTCTGGAACCGTCTGCCAGTGGAGTCCAGAGTGGCCCGGTTCTCCGTGGTCCTTGTTGGGTGGTTTTGTCACAGAGAACTGCCTGTTGTGGGTTGGATTCTGTGTGTCATTCCTTGGGGGTTGACTTGGCTCACAAATATTTTCCTGTTTCTTACAGGATCAAACTGGCCATGGATAAGGTGTGCCTCGGTTACTACTGAGAAGGTGCCTTCTCCCTGCCTTCCGAGCGTGAACACCTCCGCTTAGAATGTGAGACTCACCTGAGACTGAAGAGGTGGAGCCAGGAGGAGGCCTGCCCACCTGCTCCGGGCCCTCCTGAGGAATGCCGTTGGGCCATCCTCCAGGCCTTTCCCTCACAAGGTGGCTGCTCACCTTCACCTGTTCACCCATCCTTCTCTGAGAAACTGCAGGTGTGGGTGGGGAGAGCTCTGTGGTGAGGTGTCTGCTGTTTTCGGGGATCTTTGCCTGCTGATTTTACAGAGAATGAAGTTCACTTGGGCTTCTGTAGCCAGTGAAAATCTTTGCTGCAAGGAATTGGAGGCAAGTTGCAGCTGAGACCAGAGGCCTCAGAATGATTTGGTTCAGGAGGGTGCCCAGCCCCAAGTGGAAGCTAGCTTTAGAAAATTACTTTTCATTGCTTTTTCATTTTATTTGCAATAATGGACAAGTCCTGAAAAATAAAGGTTGATTATTGAACCCCAGTATTAACTGCTGGCCCGTGGCTCTGTGTGTGCTCCTGGCCCTTCCTGGAGGGCCTGGCCCGTCGTGTCTTCTCGCCCTCTCTGCCCGTGTCCCGTCTGACTCGGCGCACTGCTGTCTCACGCCGTCTGGGTGGCTCAGCCTTTTCAGCCTCCTGCCTTTCGTCCTCGCTGCACTCTGCGTGCACTGCCTTTCCCTTCGTCTCTGTAGATCTCAGTGTTTGGCTATCTGAACCTTCCCAGGTTCCTCCCTCCCCTCTGTCCACAGCTGTGCCAGCTGCTGCCCGTACACCACATGCAGGGGACAGGGAGGTGGTTCAGTAGAGCCGTGGGCTCCCGGAGGTGGGTACCTGGAGAACTGGCTGGTGTTCGAGGAAAAGAAAACTGGGAAGTAACATGTTCAAGGGAGTATCTTGAAAGGCCTGAAGATAACGGGAGAAGAGTGTGCTGCTAACCAAAAGGTGGATGGTTCGAATCTACCCTGGTGTACCTTGAAAGAGAGGCCTGGTGACCCATTTCTGCAAAACCAGCCGTTGAAAAGCCCCTGTGGAGCAGCATTCTCTGACACGGGTCCCGTGGGTCAGAAGCAACTTGACAGTATTGGAGCCAGTCACTGCCCTTGTGACCCTGTTCTCTGTTTGTTTTGTTCCCCTCTAGACTGAAAGTACACTGAACTGTTCAATAGACGCGGAAACATGACTGTCCTAGGTTCTGAGGGGCCAAAGCAGTTACGTTTCATGTCTCAAGTAAATGACGATTTCATACTTACGGTGCCTGGACCTGTTCTTTGCCTCCGAGGTTCACGGGCCCGTTGGAGTGGGTGCTCCCTCCTCGCCCTGAGCCGCTGTGCTCTTAGATTCTGAGGGCGATCGGCCTTTCTGGGTGGGGCACAACTATGACCAGTACATTTTTTCTCCTAATCACATGTTGCTGTGGAAAAAAAAAAAAAAAAACAGGGTAGCACGTTGACAAAAATAGCTCCCGGGGGGAGGGAGCCGTTGGCGAACAGAAGACTTGTTTGCATAGAAATAGGGTATATCCAGAGTCCATAAGCTCGTTCTAGCACAAGAGTTGGACAGGACAGACGCTCTGGGCAAACGGCTGTGCTCTGCCTCCCCGGGAACCTCCAGTGTGGGTCTGGTTTCATCTTTACAGCCCCCTTTCCCTATTTACATAAAACCCCAGCCAGGGGCTGTGGGGAACACTGACTCACCGCCACCCGTGACCAATGTGGAACTGCTCCATGGAATTGTCTGCTTTTTAATACTGCGTTTTCAGGGAAAGCTTACCCAGCAAATTTAGTTCCCGTTTGACAATTTCTACACAAGTCGTTCACTGACATTAGTTGTATTTTTCACACTCTGTCGATACCTTCATGAGCTGTATTCTGGTGGTCCTGTTTCCAGTACTCTGGCTTCTCAGCACCCCCCGTCTTCTCTCGTCTTTGCAGTAGACTGGTGGGTGACCTGGTTTTCGGTTCCGACTCCTAGAGGCGCCCTACACCGAAGAGCTGCCCGGCACCCCGTCTTCTCTTGTTTTTGCAGTAGAGTGGTGGGTGACCTGGTTTTGGGTTCCGATTCCTAGAGGCGCCATATACCCAGAGTTGCCCGGTCCCCACCATCCTCAGTCACTGCTGTGCTTGAGCCATCGTTGCAGCCACTGTGTTGGCCCATCTCGATGCAGGTCTTCCTCGTTCTTGCTGACCCTCTACGTCACCAACTATGATGTTCTCCTCCAGGGGCTGGTCCCTCCTGATAGCATGATCAAAGTATGGGAGACAGTCTTGCCATCCTCGCTTCTAAGGAGCATGGCTGTTCTTCCAAAACAGATTTGTTCGTTCTTCTGGAAGTCCACGGTATCGTCAGTATTCTTGGCCAACAACGCAATTCACAAGCATCTCCTCTCCTTCAGTCTTCCTTGTTCATTGTCCAGCTTGCATTTGAGGCAATTGAAAATACCATGGCGTGGGTCAGGCACATCTTAGTCCTCAAGGTGACACTTTTGCTCTTTTACACTTCAAAGAGGTCTTTGGCAGCAGGTTCATCCAGTGTAATACCTCCTTTGAGAGCTCTGGTAGCGTAGTGCCTAAAGCACTTGACTGCTAACCAGAAGGCTGGCAGTTCAAACCCACCATCCACTCCTCAGAAGGAAGGTTGGGCAATCTACTTCCATAGAGATACTGCCTCAGAAACCCAAGGAGGGGTCGCTGTAAGTCGGGTCTGACTCCATGACACATAACAACAACACCTCCTTTGATTTCTTGACTGCTGTTTCCATGAGCATTTGATTGTGGATCCAAGTAAAATAAAAATCTTTGACAAGTTCCGTATTTTCTTTTTATCATGATACTTTTTGGTCCAGTTGTGAGGATTTTTGTTTTCCTTTGTTGAGGTGTAATCCATACTGAAGGCTGTAGTGTTTGATCTTCGTCAGTAGGTGCTTCAAGTCATCTTCACTTTCAGCAAGCCAGGTTGTGTCATCTGCATATTGCAGGTTGTTAATGAGTCTTCCTCCAATCCTGATGCCACGTCCTTTTCCATACAGTCCAGCTTCTTGGAATATTTGCTCAGCATACAGATTGAATAAGTACGGTGAGAGGACACAACCTGAGCACACCCTTCCTGATTTTCAACCATGCAGGGTCCCTTTGTGCTGTTTGAAAAATTGCCTCTTGGTCGGTTTCGATGGTTTTTTGCTGGAGCACTGCTCACAGGCGCTGCCCTTTGTTTGTGTACCAGGCGGTTTCGCTGAAAGGCGACCACGGGGTGGTTTCTGCTCAAGGGAGAAAGGCCGTGTCACGGTGGCCATCTCAGGGTTCCTCAGCCTCAGCTGGTCCAGGGAATCAAACTTTCTGAGTCCTGTTTGCGTATTTCTTCCATTCTGTCGGGGTCAGGACAAGCGTTTTCAAGGTCTGACTGTTTTGGAATTAGGTTGCCAGGCCTTTCTTCCAAGGCAGCTTTGGGTGAGCAGACGTCTAAACTTTCCACTGACAACCAAGTATGTTAACCATCTGTACCCCCCAGGGACTGGATATTCACATACCTGTGTACAAATTCTAAAGAGCCTGGGTGGTGCGGTGATTATGTACTCGACTGCTAACCGAAAGCTTCAGTCCACCGGCTGCCCCGTGCCAGAAAGATGTGGCAGTCTTCTTCCGTAAAGATTACAGCCTTAGAAACCCTGTGAGGGCAGTTCTGCTCCGCCCCAGTGGGTCACAATGACTCAGAATCGACTTGACAGGAATGGTACAAATTTGACTTTGGTTTTCACTTTTCTATTATAAAATAAAATCATAGAAAACAAACATTTTGCTTAGTGAATGATTTCAAGGTGAACACCCTTGTAACTACCACCCAGATTAAGAACTAGATCTTAGCCAGTCACCCCAAAACCCCGGTCTTGTACCCCCATGCCAGTGACCACCCCCGGTCTCTAGAAGTCCCCCTCTCCTTGCATCCGCCCCGCCGTGATTTT